AGCACAGCAGATCCTTTATCGGACTCGATTTCTTGGTCCGAATGTGGTTCCTAGTCCAGGCTTCTCTACAGCCACGGTTACGTATCTACCATCCATGTTATCTCTCTCTCTCTCTCTCTCTCTCTCTCTCTCTCTCGCCTGCCGCAATGTCTTGCTGATGTTTTTCTCGCACAGTCACAGAACTTTGATTAGTTGTTTCTCGACATTCCGTTTTACAGTTCAGAAAATGCGAGCTTGGTTCTCCATGTGCATACTATAATCAGGACTAGGACATCTGAGCTCTGATGGTCAATAATCTGCATCATCTGGAGTGAGTCCATTAATTTGGTTCATTTCTTACTTTGTGTTGCTTATGAGCCATATTTTTGTTTCACGATATGTTTTGTTGACTGCTTAAACTTGTTTCAACTGATTGTCTGCTTTGCAGCAATGGAGGGCATAGGTATATGAGCTATGAATTATTTGAGTTCCATATGAGTTCGATAATGCTCAAAGTCCTTTGTGGGAAAGCGAAAGTATTGCAGGAATACAAACACTCAAATGCAATGAGATAATGCATGATATGTATTACAACACTTGAAGGTACATGGTTTCACAAATTGCAGCAGGAATTTCAATGTTGAATGTTGCACGTGGTATCTTGAAACTATTGCAGACTTGGAGTTGATCAGAGTCATGCGACTTGAAGCAATGAATATACTCCCAATGTTAACTTCTATGCTATTTGCATTGGATCCATGGGTAATCTACGAAATTGTGGCGTCCCCATCTTCTATCCACCAGGATTGCTAGATGCTCCATGAGATTGTTCTTCATTATGTGTACTTATTGTTGAATCTTCGATGGTCTGTCATTTGGAACTGGCTTCTAGTGAAAACGGTGGGTGTGTCGTGTGGTCTCTGGCATTTATTTAAGTATTTTTTAGCATTGTAAATTAGTGTCTAATCTTTAGTGTTTAAGGTTGAAGAGAAAACTTCCTTTTATTGAGAATAGGATCTAGGCCGAGGGTGGCAGGTGCCACAATGTCAAAACTAGACTTCTTTTACCAAGAGATTAGTCAACATTAAAAGAAAAAACCCCAAAAAAAAAAAAAATATTCTCTTTTAGGAGGATGGAGGAGCAGTTGGAAGTAAAATATTGACGGCACTAGAGAAAACTTGGATATTAATGGAAGTAAAATATAAGCATCTCTAGGTGAATCTATGGTGGATGAATATATAACGTGTAATGATAAGTAGTTTTGTAGATGTTTTTTCTTTTAGAAAAATGGAGTTTCGGTGATTTTTGGAGATAATGCATCAACTATTATAGCGAGCTATGAATATTTATTAATGAAAAGTGGATCTCAATTGTATGAAATGTCTTTAATTCTTTGCTGATTTGTCTGTCCTAAGGTGCAACGATTAACAATGACTAATAAACTAGAAACGTGATTGATTGTGAGGCGTGCCTATATAGGCTGAGATCGTAGCTGTTCGGGCTAAGTAGATCCCATATATTTGCCAACCTTTGATGAAGAGTGAAAAGATATGGATTTTATACCATCAAATCATTTACTAAAAGTGTAAGGACGTCACAATTACTATTAACAATTGGATTTGGTAATTAAGAATAATTGTTTCATACGGGCTGGACCATATTTGTACAATATGCAGCCCAAAGGTATAAAGCATCCATCTTAAAAATAGATGGAAATAAGTGACCCATCTAAAAACAATTGTAACTAACAGTGCAAATGTTTTCTTAATATAGTTATTATTTTTAGTTTTAAAAATTTATTTATTTTTCCATATTCATGATCTCCATGCTAAAGATTTTATACTTTCTAAAAATTAGGATCAAATTATATTTAAAAATATATTTATTGTCAAGCCCTCATTTGTACATGTGCGGGCTTGGCCACATGCTAATTGCGTCCGACATTTAATGGATTAAAATGTCACAAGATTTGACATTTTATTTTGGACATTGTGTTTAGTTAATGTCCTGCCCAATCACCCGATTTTGCATCTAACAATCAATAGTAGTTGTGATTTTCTTGTACCAAAAATAAGTGTTTTTATTGTATATGTTTCTAAAAGATTAGAAAAATGACCTATACCCCTTCCTTGTAATTTCTATCCCTATTAGACCCATGGGTTTACCAAAATCTCTTGTACCGTCTCAAGTTTAACACTTTGGGACGGTTAGCTTCCAATTATATTTCTTTTTCTTTTACAAAATGTCAAACCCATCTATTTGTCAATCCCTTCCCCTCTCTCTTTTGTTGCCCAAAACCAATCTTACCTCCATGGACCCCACTCTACAAATTTAGACTTGAAAAGAAAACGAATTTTTCTTTAATATTATGACCTATTTTACAATTGCATCAATATCTTTTGAACTTACAAATAATTAATCAAGATCTTTATTACTATTGTTAATGGATATTTACTAAAGAAATTTTTCAAAATACCTATAAGAAATAAACTATTTAACAATTAACATATTGTTGTTGTTGTTATTATTGTTATTGTTGTTGTTTTTTTGTTGTTGTTATTATTAAAATTTGTATGCAAAGTCACCAAAAAAAATATAGAGATGACTAATGGATGGTTTTGGAGTTTAGCAAAACAAAATGATGTAATTTCTAGAAAGAGCAAAAGAAAACATAATTGGGATGCTAAAGGCCCCAAAGTTTTGAACTTGAGGGGGTACAAGAGATTTTGGTGAACCTGAAGGTCTAGTAGTTGTGATTTTCTTATACCAAAACTAAATAGTCTTATTGTATACATTTTCATCATGAAGATTTCCAATGCCCAAAGTGCTTTCAGGATGAAGATTTAAGGTGAGGCTTTATTTTGCTTTCATAAAGCCTAGGCCCTATAGAAACTTCATTCCCTTAATAACTTCTGCATAAATTAAATTTATTTGAAATTTGAAGTATGTACATCAGACCAATTGGCACCAAAATAATACACACACCTCAAAAGATATTCTACTCCTTATGAGTATACTATCCATTTACACCCTCCAGTAAAACCCCATATAGGATTAGTTTTAGGACCCAAATTTGGGGATATAACATCTTTTAACACATAAACACATAGATTAACCTCAAAAAAAAAAAATCTAATTGCACCATCTAACCACTTGGAAACAATAACTCAAAATTGAATAGAGATGACCAATTCTTAAAAGGTACGATCTAAGTGTTAGAAAACTCAAATTTCAAATTTTTCTTTTGAGAATAATTATCTAGTGATTCTTAAGTGGTTCCCAAAATTTCAAGTTGAAAAATTCTTAGGTGGTTCCCAAAATTTCAAGTCGGGAGCATAGAAATAAACTATGCTCCCGAGGGTGCATAGCATACGTGCTCTCAATCACATACCTAATTTTAGAGCAGAACCATTAAAAAAGATGAGGAAAAAAAAAAGAAAACACATGCTATAAGACATCGGAGAATCTAAAAAGATGAGGAAAAAAAAAAGAAAGCAGATACTATAAGACATCAGAGAATCTTCAATCATGATCCCAAATCCCTTTCAAAATCTAATGATGAGGTAAAAATTTGAAGAAGAGGCACTGATCAATTTGGCACTCCTCTTTTGAGATTCATGCTCTCTCAGAACAACGTGACACTCCCCTTTGAAACTCATGCTCTCACACAGGATCAGTATAAAGGACTTGGCACATCTTTCGGAGAGCCTTTTTAGTCTCTTAGTTGAAAATTTATTCCTTAGATACAGAGGCACTTAGGAAACAGGTCTTATCTCCTTCAGTAGACACAGGAGATAGATGAAAATGTTTTTTGGTTACAGACAAGAAGTAAGAAGATTTTGGTAAACAGAGGAGGAAGTAAAAAGAGAAGACTTAGAGGTGCCGAAATTTTGAGGTTTTGGCACTGCTTAAGGGTGGCAAAAAAATTTACAATATAAAAGGGTACGCAGGATAGATAGGTAAGAAAGAGTTTGTCAAATTTAACAGTGCTACATTCGCCATACCTGCAACTTACTGAACAAAACTAGATTTTCTATCAGGAACAGCCCATATCCCGAATGGTGACGAAATTTTTATGACATAAAAGCGTATGCAGGATAGAGAGGTAAGAAAGAAGTTTGTCAAATTTAACAGTACTGCATTCGCCGTACCTGCAACTTACTGAACAAACTAGAATTTCTATTAGTAACAGCCCATATCCCGAATGGCCTCAGTCATCCAAAACTAAGGTAGATGGTTTGGCCGCTTAAAAAGTATATCAAAACTTGAGCAAAAGAATGAACACCAAAACCATCCAATCTTAACACCAAACAACAGAGAAAGCTTAGCCATTTCTACCCATGCAGGATATAAATCTATGCTATTGTCGCATGCTTTCCTTTTCCCACTTTTTTTTAAACTATGGACTTTGTATTGAGTATAAATATTTCTACATATTATAAAAATAGGCTACCCACAGTTGGGAGCTATGTACAAAAACCACCTAGATGGTGGCAGAATCAAAAAATACCATACAAGCGTGTGATTACAAAAAACAAGGGTCTTGAGAGGACACAACAAGTACTCTAGAGGAATGCCTGGGAAGCACCTCCTTAGGCAGAGCGTCGAACACATCATAAAAAATAGTTGTTAGTCTCCACCAGCGGGGGGGGGTGGTGACCTAGCCTGAGGCCCAATAAATGACATTTCTAGAGCCACCCTCCACTACCAGCAATGTGCTCCAAGTAGGATTGAAGTTTTTGACGCCTTCCAAAAGAGTAAGGGCTTCTGCCGTAATAAAATCCACTCAGCCTATGGGAAGGGGCCCAATGGTCTCTAGAAGGAGTGGAGAATTCGATTGGGCTCGGTGGTCTCCAGAAGGAGTAGAGAATCCGACTGGGCTTATGGTGGAGAATGGTAACTAGTTTAGGTGAAAGTCAAAGGTGGAGAGGAGCTCGAAGCGGTTATAATTGGTGGCCCATAAGATGGCCATTGACCTGATGCTCTCTTTTAAGGCCCACAGATGGGTACTCTATCCCCAGAAGATTCTATGGTTATGTTCTCTCCATAACGCCGCAGCTACTAAGGCCTTCCATAACATGGTGCCTGACTTGGGCCATGGGAGAATGTGCGTTTGGTGAAAGAGGCGGGGGACGCACTCAGGTGTCACCCATGTCCAACCGAATAACTGAAGGAGGTCTTCCCACAGTTGGCTTGCAATATTATAGTGAATAAAGAGGTGTGAGTTGGTTTCCTCGTCCGGATCAATGTTATCAAATTCGCTTCACTTGGGCCAAAGAGGCCGAAGCTTTCGGATTTTAGGCATAAACCGAAGAGAGGCAAAACCTAGTGCTGCCTGAGTTGAACCGCCTTGGGCTGCCTCGGTCAAATTTGGACCGCTTCAGGTCTGCTTCGGCCAGCAAAGAAATAGCTATATAAATGTATTTTTTTCATTTTTTTTCATTTTTTTATTTTAATTTTTTCCGTTATTTGTATATATTATATATATAAATATCTAATTTATTTATACTAAATTTTTTAAAAAGTTCGACGTCTTCCACCGAATCTGTTGAAGCACCGAATTGCTTCATTTTCCTCACCAAATCGAAGAAGACTCCAAAGCGAATCTAACAACATTGCTCAAGATACATGGCGCACGATTTAAGGATCATTAAGCCTCGCCTTTGGAGTTGATCGACTGTTAAGGTTATGTCCACAATGCAACCCAATTGAAAACTTGGATTTTCGGGGGGATGAAAGGAATCCAAGCTTTGGCTACGATAGACTGGTGGTGTGGGTAGTCAAGAGAGGAGGCAATAAGTTTATGTTTAAAGAAGGAGATTGAAAACACCAGAGGGGATAGGCGACCAAATGATTTTGTCCTCACCCTTGGAGGGGAGATAGAGGGAGTCGAGGATAGAAGAGAGTTCCAAGAAAACAAGGATTGCATTGTCATGGAGTTGTCTGCCGACATTG